AAGAAATATATTTGTTTCCAACATAAATATGTCACTGACCGAAACGGTCTCTCGCATCAAGCGGTGGCTCCTCGTCCGTCTGGCTGCGCCAGACGGCCTGCGGTGCCGGCGCGGTGCGCCGCGCATGACCCGACAGCCCGTTCCGGTCGGATCTGAAGGAGTTCATAACTCTTAAGAAAGCGACATCTCATGTCCTATCGTATTGTTTATGACCTCGCAGCCACGAGGTTTTCTGCGGACACTCTAAACGCAGCCTTCCCAGATCATGGGTTTTCAAGTGACCAGTATCTTTTCTTCGAATTAGGTGGCGACAACAACCTCTATGAATCCTATGCGTCCCGCCAGCGCACCCTCCAAAGGCGTGTCAGAAACTGGTCACTGATTGCAATGGGATCAGAGTGGGAAGTGATGCGTCAGCTCGTCACTTTTGCTGCGTCATGTGAAGGGGGCGGCATGCGGTTCAGTGGGGCATCTGAAACGGCCGCCGAGACATACATACGCAAATGTAGGACAATAGTCTCTGAGGCAGTAACGCCTGACACCCTCTTGCAAAAAATGGGCTGTGGGGTGTCTTTGCAGATTGCAACACTCGGTGACGAGTGTCCTGAGTGGAGAAAGAGGAAAATCGAGACGCTGACAGCGCTCCTTGGGCAGCCTGGAGGAACAGACACTCATGACTGGTTTGTCCGGCCCCTGCATGAAATGAAGGATGCGGCGGCTTTATTTGCCTTTGGCTACATGGACGGTCGGCCAATTTATAACATGGCGAGCGTCTCAGTCATCCACCAGTCCAAACTGCCTCTGATGAAAGACCTGGCGATGCGGAAGCCTTTCGCATTCTAGCGCCAGAGTTATCCCACCTGCATAGCCTGTCTTGCAGGTGGGAGGAGAGCGTTTCACCGTATCTTCGCGGCTTTCATCATGTAACCCCAGGCTAACATACCAGTCACAGTGGTAGGAATCATCATCCATTGGGCGACGGTCGTGTGACCAGAACAGGCAAGGCCAATGGCGGAGCAGCCAATCGCTATTTCTGCAAACCCGTAAGTTACGCCTTGGGTTATAGTGCGTGTGTTATCATTAGGATTCATCATCAAGTGTTCTCCTTGTTAGGGCACATTGCTGAACAGTGAGTCCGAGCCACCACACAATGCCGCCAGAAAGGCCGGAACTGTAAGTAAACAGAATGCGAGTATACACTGTCTGCGTTCGGTAAACCAAAGTCTCGTCACAATAAAAACCACAACAGAGTAAAGCAACAGAATTAAAACTGCGTTGAGACTAACGCTATCGCTATCCATGTCTCGTTTCCCATTTGTGTATCGATGCTTCAGGTGTCATCCATCGTCATGCGACCGAAAACGAGAAAGGGACTTTTTATTGAATGGTCAGACTTATTTCGTTTGAGACGTGCGAGCGCGGCGATCTTCCATGCCTTTTGCTTTGGCGCCCGGACCATGTCTCCCAAGAGCAGTGCGTTTGGCAATCGCGGCACGTTGGGCAGAGTAGTTCGGAGCCACCATGGGATACTCGGGAGGCAAGCCCCAGCGTGTTCGATAGTCTTCAGGGCTCATGTTGAAATGTTTCCGAAGATAAGACTTCAACATCTTGGTTTTCTGACCATCCTCAAGACAGATGATGTAATCAGGGAAGACGGAGCGCTTGACATCAACGGCAGGAGAAAGAGCCTGTTGGGGGTGTAGGACAGTCTCGTCCAATGGGTGAGAGGCCGATGCGGGTGCTGTCTTCTCCTGAACCACCGCAGGCGTAGGCTGGGGCAGGGTGAGTGTCTCCAGTGTTGAATGAACCGATCGGATCAGATCTGGGAGCGCCTCAGCACTTATCGTGTTATGACTGACATAAGCTGATACGATTGCCACGGTGTGACTGAATTTCTGAGTGTCAGTTTCATGTCCTGATACTGAATGCGCCATTATACTGCTCTCTTTGGTTTCCAAATGCCGTCCCAAGACTAAATCTTTGGCCTGTAATGGTTTAACTTGTTTAACACGTTGCCTCTCTCCGGCAACTCAGTGATGTTCTTGTGACGTTGCTCCGTCATTTTGGCCGTTGCAGCGCTCACAGGGGATGCCCCGTAGAACATGTGTTTTGTTCTGACGCTCAATCCAGCCACTCTCCCAGCCACAGCGGGCGCATGAAAACAAGGCAACGCATGTATTGCCCGGTTCATAGATACAGCCGTGATCTCCAACATCAATCATGTGTGCCAGATAGCGCCGTGGTGCGCGTGGCTTGCGATATCCAAACAGATCCGGCTGGCGGGGTTTGTATTTCGCCGTGGAGCGTGGAGAAACCATGAGCAGCTCACTGGCTATCGTCGGACGGGGTGTTTTTCGTGAGGGACGGGTCACTTCTTTGGTCTGATAGGACGCTGAAGGAGGTCATGCCCGCTTTCGATCTTATAAGAGTAAAATGGTCGGATTGCTCTCGCGCAAAGAGAGAGAAGGGATTTCCGCCAGATGTGAGCTCAATAATACAGGGTCTTGCCCATGGGCTTTTGGGGAGTGCCTTAGATCTCATCGTGTTGTCCTTACACATAATAAAATTCCGTTCTGCGTTTCTGTCAGGCCATGATGCGACCGAATTGAGAAAAAACAGTCTTGCTTCAAAATTATGAAGAAAGTTCATGTCAGGTTGGGCTTTGCCTGTTGCAGGTTCCTTGTTTCCGTTTGCCCTGGTCTTGCGTGTGTCCCTTCAATAAGGATCCGGGACGCCCCTGTCGGGGTGCGTTCGCTCAGCATCTCTAGGCGGCCGAGCCGCCAAGAGATGTCGAGCCCCCTAAACGGGGTCTCGCCACTTTCGTGCTAATGCTCACCGTCGTTTTTTTTATACTTGGCTTTACTTGTTTGTGTGAAAGTAAATAAAGGGCATGCGGAAAGGAAAGCGGAAGTTAATTGGCAAGTAAACAAAAATAATTCATTTATTTTGTTGTTTTTATTGCATTTTATGCTTGCGGTGGTGGGCGGTTTGTACTATCTTTTACTTGTGAGAGGGAAATAACTCCCAAGCACAAAGCGCCCCGAGCCAGTGATGCGAACACTGAAACGGGGCTAACGCCAGACAGGAGATTGGTCATGTCAAACGCTGCTACTGCTATCGCTCAAGCCCACACCGAAGCGCAAGAGAAGAAAGCCAACAAGGCCAATAAAAACGCACCCCGCGCCCGTTCCTTTCAGGAAGCCGTTGACCGCAAGGCCGCTGCCCCTATCGCCAGCCTTGAAGCCGTCAAGGCACTCATTCCCACCGATGCACAGGCCGCAGCCATTGCCCGCGCCTTTGCCATTGAGGAAGTGGACACAGATGAAGTGCTCGGAGCCGGTTACAATTCCGTGATGGAAGAAATCAAGATCATGGAACCAATTCTTGCAACCACTGTAAACGGTGAAAAGAATTACCGCGCTCTTGAAATGCACATGCAGCGCATCGTTGGCGCACGTGTGGCCTCTGCTTTCGGGCAGGCCCAGTTCTACGAAACCAAGCGGCAGGCCGCCCGTGAAATCTCCTCAGGCTTTACAAACGACAACCGCGACGAAGATCGCATGGGCGTTGACGGGCAGGCCAACCGCGCCGCCTTCGCCCGCGAATTTGCCGCACAACTCGGCATGAAAGCCTATGGCCTGTCAGCCCTCGCAGAAGGTGCTGCCAAGGCTTACGCAGAATATTTTGGCTCTGAATGGAAGCCCTACAGCCGCACCTCTGCCCGCTCTCTTGATCGTCAGATCGCCGATGCACAGGCAGACGCTCTGGGCTTCTGATACAGCGGCCGGGCGGCTTCGCCGCCCGGTTCTCTTTCCTTCAAACCGGATAGAATTTGATGGACACGAACCAGATTACAGACCGAGAGCGCCGCTTTCTCCGGGCTATTCTGCCCCCAAGGCAGACCCGGAAATCTCAGGAAGATCGGCTTAAGGCAGTAGCGTCAGCCTTGCAGACGATGTCGCTAAGTGTGATTGGGGTTGGTATCATAACCCCGTTTTTTACCTCACAAATGGGGGTAAATTGGCGTATGATGATGGTTGCCGCTGGCGTGGCTTCATCGGTGGAAGTAATTTCCTTGCTAACTCTGGCCTATATCCAATATCCTCCAGACAAGGAGAGCAGCGACCATGAATAACTTCACAATCAATATGATTGGCATCGTCGTGCCGTTCTGCATCATTACGTTGGTAGTGGGGTTTGCTCTCGGCCCAATACTCCGCCGACTGAACAAATTACGCGACAGGCTAGACGCTCAGGCGTCCCATCATTCATGACAACAAGGCGGCCTCAGTGCCGCCTTTCTCTTATGCCTCGCACCAGCGCGGGGAAAAGGGGGCCAGCAGAGCTGGCCAACTATGAACGGCCGGGGCTGCGCCCCGGCAGTTCTTGGACTGTTCTCACGCTCTGACGATTCAGCTTCCCTGTTAGCTCAGTCAGTCTCTGCTCATGAGGGGGATCACTGCACCCTATTTCCTCTTTATGTGAGGCTGGGTGCGGGGGAGGGGGTTCTGGATAGTCTCACGCTTATGGCCGCAGGGCTGTATCGTTCTTGCCATGACCGGCATGACCTTATGTTTCCTGTCGGGTTGCTTCTTTTTTCTCTGACCGTTTCAGCTTTTCCGGGTGATCCTCCGCAGTGTCCGGGGCGCCCCTGTCGGGGTGCGTTCGCCCAGCATCTCTAAGCGGCATAGCCGCTAAGAGATGTCGAGCCCCCTAAACGGGGTCTCGCCACTTTCGTGCTAATGCTCACCGCCGTCCTTTTCTATACTTGGTATTTACTTATGTATTTGTAAGTAAATAAAGGGCATGCGGAAAAGAAAGGTTTTTGTATTTGGATTTTCCTTTAAAAACCTTATATTTTATTGCGATTTTCTGTTGTTTTTCCTTGCGTTATTTGAGTATCCGTATCATTATCTTTTACTTGTAGGCGGAAGAAACAACACCGCCAACGGCCAGTAAAGCCGGTTTCATCTGAAGTATAGCTGTGTAGGAGAAGTGTTATGGCTGGTTCCGTTAATAAAGTTATTCTTGTCGGCAACCTCGGTAAAGACCCGGAAGTGCGTCACTCACAGTCTGGGCAGAAGATTGTTTCTTTCACCCTGGCCACGTCTGATACGTGGAACGACCGCCAGTCAGGCGAACGGCGTGAACGCACTGAATGGCACAAAGTCGTCGTCTTTAATGATCGTATCGCAGATGTTGCTGAGCGTTTCCTGCGCAAGGGTCGCAAGGTCTATCTCGAAGGCTCACTCCAGACCCGGAAATGGCAGGGGCAGGACGGAAAAGATATGTACACCACGGAAGTTGTAATTCCTCGGTTTGGCGGAGAGCTGACCATTCTGGATACGCGACACACTGAGGAAGGCGAACAGACTGGCGGATACAGCAACGCCCCACGGAACTCTGGCGCCCGCAGTAACGGCGGTCAGGCGGGGGCATGGGATGCTCCCCAGTCAAACGGTGATCTGGACGACGAGATACCGTTCTGAGTGCCCTTTTTTTCCTCTAAGGCCGGGGAGGTGCCCCGGTCAGTTCAGCCGGAGTATTCCTCATGTGTGATGTCGCAGAACTGTACGAAACAGCCAATTCCGCAGCAAGCAAAGGCTGTGGCTGCTCTTATGAACTCTATGTTCAGAAACTGACAAGAGAGATTGATCACACAGCCTCTCATCTCACCCCCGATCAGGCCGCCGCCCTGCAAGAGTATGCCAGACAGAAAGGGGACTATGCCCCAGAGGCCGATGACTTCCACCTTGAGGGCTTCTGCTGCCACGGCATTGAATACGGATGCTGCCCCGCAGGATGCGATGATGCAGAGGAAGATGACTGGGACAGCGAGAACGAAGAAGGGAGAATAGCCCTCAATCGGCAGATCATGGCAGAAATCGAAGCAGAAGAAGAGCAGGCAAGGATGGCCGCAATCGCCGCCCGTGATGCGCGGGTGCTTGACCGCATTGGCATGATCCGCAGGAGAGTGGCGGCATGAGACAGCTTGTCCAGGAGCTGGGGCGCACGGCATTCCATATCGTGAATGGAATGCCTACACCTTCCTTTCTCAGGCTCAACACACTCAGGCGGTTTGAAAGGCTGCTGCTGGCCATTCAGGAAGACCGAGTGGCCTCTTCGTTGCTCCGGTCCAAGGTGCCAGAGCCGGAGCCAACCCCACACGATGTCGCCCGCGGGCTGGCCGACCTTGTCCCGTTACGGTTTCAGTTGCGCGAGGATGAATCCTTCAGGCCTTTCTCAAGAGGGAGTGCGCTGGCTTTTATCGCCTCACGCCGAGACGAAGCCCGTCTGGAAGGGTTGCAGGGGGTGGCTATGCCGCTGTCCATAGCGGGCGTCGATTATATGGTGCACTACATGCGGGGGGCGGGATGGTGTGACTGTCGGGCATCTTTAATGGGCAATTAAAAAGCCTTGAAGTCATCATGTTTGGCATATACAATTAGGGATATACATAGAGGAGGCCCTTATGCCTGTTCCTGAAATGACTCCCCGACCGCGCGAAGTGAAACTCTTTCGGAACAATCGCAGTCAGGCTGTGCGTATTCCTGTCGAATTTGAAATGCCAGGAGATCGCGTGCTGATCCGCCGTGACGGTGACAAGCTTGTTCTGGAGCCTGTGAAAACCCCTTCAACGTTGAAGGAGCTTCTCATGGCATGGCGCGAAGAGCCGCAGCTGACCCCACAAGACGATTTTCCCGATATTCAGGACGTAGCCGCCAGACCGGAAGATATTCTGTGAGCGCCTATCTCCTTGATACCAATATCATCAGTGATCTTGTCCGCAATCCTTCCGGCCCGAGCGCGCGTCGCATCGAACGTATCGATCCCGGCGACCTTTGCACCAGCATCATTGTGGCCGCTGAGTTACGATATGGATGCGCTAAAAAAGGCTCTGCAAAGCTGTTAAACAGGGTTGAAAGCGTGCTGGCGTTTGTCCCCGTGCTGCCTCTCGATATTCCTGCCGACTGTGAATACGGTGGCATCCGCGCCGAACTCGAAGCCGCAGGGCAGACGATCGGCATGAATGATCTGCTCATCGCGGCTCACGCCTACACCCTCAAGGCGACCCTGGTGACGAACAACACACGTGAGTTTATGCGCATCCGAGGCTTGAAGGTTGAAAACTGGCTGGAGGATGGGACGTGACTGTCTTTTGCCCCAGAAGAAACCCAAGGTCAGCATAACAAGAAGAACCAACCAGACTGTCTGAAAAGATGACGGTTTACAGACAACGGAGAATCAGGTGCCGAGAGAGGTTTATCAGCCAGAGACGATTGTCTCCATGACTGTGGCGGATGATGAGGCCGAAGCACAATTCGGCAGTCTCATGAAAGCAGTCCGGAGAGAAAAAAATTTCGATCCCTCTTTGCCCCTGACCATCACTGTCAAGCAAAAACCAGCGGGTTACGCGAAGTCCTTGGAAGGGTGCTATCATGTATCCTTGAAAATAGTGGCTTTACTGGGCGCCAGGGTTTCCGGGATTGAGCCTCACGATCCGAAGCACGAAGACAGTTCAGACGTGCTGTGGCTGTCAGGGCATCCGGAGACGGAATTGTCTGCCGGACGCGCCATCTTCGTGACACCCGCGACAGCCATGGAAAATCATTGGATGATTGACGAGTGCAACGTGAGTAAGGTCGGCAGGAATGGAACGTACTGGACCGTCACAGTGCCTGGGTCAGAAGTTATCGGTGTCGTGGAAAAGCTCTACGGCGGCAGTTCAGCTTGCGAGAGAGGTGTGTCATGAATCTTGCCCGTGCGATCATGATCCGCAAGGAGCGGAAACGGCAACGCAGAGAGGGGGCAACCCGACGAGAGAGGCTGTCCGTCTCGCCTTTGCTATGGGATAGCCTTGCGGCAGACAGGCAACTCCAGCGGACATGGAGGGCAGAAGGGGTTCCATTCTGGAAGCGCTTGCTCCGGGCCTTCCTGATTCAGGGATAAAACACAGTGAAGGTTGGCCGGTCGCATCATGGCCAGCCAACATCACACTATGAAAACGACAGACACCCCCTCTTCTTCCGAACGCCCGGCTCAACGGCTCTCCGGTCGCCGACTGTTCCAGTGTCTCATGGTGCTGGGCTGGACGGAACGTCTCGCGGCCGAGAGATGCGATATGCATCGCACACAGTTTCGACGCGCCATTGCTGGGACATCGTCATTGCCTCCTGATCTCTCGGCATGGTTGCTCGATCTGGAAGCAGCAATTCTAGCGCGACCATCCCCTCGTAAACGACTGAATGATCCGGCCTTTCAGGAACACAGTTTGAGCACAGCCAGCTGATCCACAAAAAAAGCCGCCTTATGGCGGCTTTTCTATTACCTTAGACTAGAGACATTAATGCCAGGAAGGTCTCTCGTTAGTGCCTAAGCTGGGCTTAGTGACCATACTTGAAGCCAAGATGGCCATTTGACATGACGGCAGGAGTACATGTTGCAGAGGGATCGGCCTTTGCATGATAAGGCTCAAGGTATTTCTGTGCGACCCAGCGCGGGCGGAATGCAAAATCAAATGTTTCGACATAGCCATTCATAACACGTGCACCAATTTTTACGGCCACCTGATTTCCGACTGGCGCAATATCGGGCTCATTGTCAAAAGGTCTCAGCTTGAACGAAACCGGATGTTGGAAGTCCATTGATTGTGCTGCAGTTTCATTCAGCATCATGCATGTGTACCCAGCTAAGGGTTTTACTGGTGTCAAACCGGCAGCCAGAGCTGGGATAGGGGCAACGGCTAAGGCAAAAGCCAGCAGATTTCGTAATTTCATAATACCCTCAATTAACTAGCAAGGATTGGAGAGTTTGCTGCTGTTCCCATTTTAGAAGCAACATTAGATTTCCATTGTCCGACTGTCTCACCCGGCGAAATGCCGTTTTTAGCAAGTTGGTCAGACGACATATTGGATAATACGGAGGCCATAGAAGCGTTCTCATCTGCCTGCGCAAGCTGAACTCCTGCGTGCGGACCGAAGTTATAATAGCCTCTGGCATCAAGAGCGGTCGGGTTGCTAATCCCTGAATTCTGAAGAGATGTCGCAGCATCCTTGAGATACTGTGCCGCAGCAACCGCCTGTGTGGCCGGATCTTGCTGGCCAGAAATTCCCGTGTTGGTGATACTGGATGCAAGGCTGGGGTTAGAGGCCAACGCCTTTTGCAGAGCTTCATTGTAGGTGCCGTTCGACATTTGAAATGCACCAGTAATCGATGAGTTGCCATTTGCTGTATAAACGTTGCGACACCCTGACTCTACAGCGCACGTTGCGGCCAGAGCATCTGGGCTTACCCCCATGGCGCTGGCATTTTGGGCAGCAGCATATCCCCATGACTGGGAATACATTGATTGCAGAGCATCCGTACTGCTGCCGTTTGTTGTGGTTGTAGAGACTACAGACCCACTTCCACTAATCTGCTGTGTTGTGGTGGAGGTCTGTGGTGTCCAGCCGCCCATCCCAATTTCCTGATAGGTTGCATTGACCGTTGGCGGCAGACCTGCTGGGACATTGACGGTTTGCGCGAATGCAGGATAAACCAAGAAGGAAAAGCCAAGCATAGGCCAGACCTTCCACGCGGTTCGTCTCTTTTTCACGAGCATCTCCTTTGGTTGCGATGCGGTGATTTTTCCTCAGCATGATGCGACGAGTTTAAAAAAAGAGCGGGCAGGGAAAGTGTGTCCATTATGGTCACACTTTCATGGAAGCCGCCCAAGCACCCGAATTATGAAAGCCAGAAGTCGCATGCGCCAAGGAAAAGTCGACGGAACCGGAACGGAAGTGACCAATTAGAGTTGCCTTACATATACAGCGAAAACGGTGCGTATACGCGATGTCTGTGTCTACATGCCCTTGCCATTGTATTGGTGCAGTCTGTGTCCGTGTGCGTGAGCGACTGCTATACGTGTGCTCTGTTAACTTAAGATGATTATGTTAACTCGAGAGGTTAACAGCAGGGCTATGTTAACCCACTGGGAGCTAACTATATATTTAAATTCTCGAAATACTTTGCAAAGTATCTTCTATGATTATTTTGTTAGTTATTTCCATAAATGAAAATGTTTGTATTTATTTGTTTCCGTTATCTACAGTACAACAAACACTTAAATATCATAAATAAGAATCATTGAAATCATTGTACAACCAGTTGCCCCGACTTAGTATAATAGCAAATTAAAATAAGATGATGTAAGACCTACAACTTGTATGTAAATAATGACAATGACATTAATCTATTTAACTTGTGTAACATTATAAGTTAATAATGTATAAAGTTAACTTAAATAAATTACAATAAATATAAATATTTGCTTATGTGAGATATGAGATATAAGGGTTAAGCACTGTAAAGGCCACTGCTGCTGGCCCGACTCTATTTTGGCTTTTAGCTTGTGCAACGATACGAATGCTCTCAGTCTCCTTCTCTATTTCACACTCTTTCCCAATATTCCCACATCTGCCTGGCAAACATATTTCGAAAACTTATTCGA